AAATGACTTTGCTACGGGAACACCCAGCTGTTCACAAAAATGTGCTACAAGATCTAATTACTCATTGATTCATGGACCAAACTCTACTCAAATTTGGAAACTTTTGTTTTTTTAGACGTTTTTTTGAGAAGTGGTCTATCTGGGAAGTTTATTTTGAGAACAATCAGCATGACTTTGTCGCAGAAATAAGAACTAGTACTGACCACTCTCAAAGGTGGATTGCTTACTTTGGTTTGAACCGGGTACAGTAACTTACGGAAATAGAATCAAGAGAAATCCTCAACATCGTACGAAGTATCCTTTCTTTTAAAACTAAAAATCTATCTGTTTTCTTTTGTTTGTCAACACGTTAATTGTTTCTAAAAATTTTCATTATCCAAGTAATAGTTTGAATAGATGATCATAGTTTTGCTGTGAATTTAATTTGAGAAGCAACACAAAGAAATATTCTCAAAAAAGCTTTCTTTGCGCTCTCTTTACTGTTGTTGTGCTTCGATCATGCATACTTTTAAAGAACCTTTTTGATTGTTGTAAGTGTCTAACAGTTTTCGTATGGCGGTAATTCTCCTTTTCCAAAATTACAATTTTTTGGTTCCAGGAGACTCCAATGCGGGACCGATTGGCAGATTTTCAAGTAAGTCCAAGTTCTTGCCAGCGCAGTATTTCTTCCACAATATATATTTTTTTTTGGAAAAAATCAGCCCTCGTTGGCCATTGCTTGGGAAATGTTTGCTGAGATATTGAATATTGTATTGTTGTTTAACTTGAGCCTTTCCCTTTCCAAATATTGACTCTGACCAAATAAATAACAGGTCTGTTATGAAAACACCTTATTGTTGTTCGCAAAACAAAGAACAACAATTTGACGCTTGTATGGATGTGAAACAATCTCAATATAGATGAAAATTTGTCATTTTAGCGAAGAGTTGTTACGGACCGATTTGAGGAAGTAGAACTGGGTCCTTCATCACCGGTTGGCGTTCCACAAGGGATTGCAACTGTTATAGATGGGCGATTAAGGTGAGATTTCTAAAAATTGAAGATGATTGTTGCTGAGTCATGGTAACTGTACTCTTGTGACGCCAATTTTCGAAGATGAGTCATGGCCACGCGTTTTCTATTTGACATTTGTACGCACTTTGCGTGATGGCCATTATCGCTCGTATCCTTGGCCGGACATTTGAGTTAAAAATAGTGAGGGATAGTTTAAAAATCAAAGCATATTATGTTGCATTCGATCTTGGGTAGTGCGAAATTAAATTCCTGTTAATGATTTTAACGTTTTATGCTTTTTAACCACCGATCTTCAAACTACATCGGGCTGCTGCAATTGGTCTGCGGCGGACTAAAAAACAATCGTCTGCAATAGATTCATCCAGCATACGACTGCGAACATTCCTCTACTATACCTCGACAAAAGTACGACTCTTCAGTGGACAGCGGGCAATTTCAGTAGTTTTTCCAAGTCCCTCTTTCAATTTGAGATTTGCCATGATTTTTTTGTGGTCATGCAGTAATAGCCGTACTTTCGAGAAGAATGCCTAGTTGGCAGAGAGAACAGAGTGCTAGCATTTTGGGAGAAAAATGATCGTCACTCTGATATGTTTGCCACTTCATTTTGATGGATATACTTGCACTTTTAACTTCGCCCATTAGAATTGTCCCAGTATTCAAACACAACTATCAACTAATTTTGTAGGCTTCTCTTACGACACTATACGCAATGTTCACTTGTATCTCAACTTCCACTTGTCTCAGCTTTGTAATCAGCAAGAAATACTGAAATTTTTATTTGCAGTATCCGAAACTATTACCCATAAAAAGTCCAGAGGTTTTGAGGAACTTTAAAATTCCTAAGGTTCTTATAAGTGATGGTTTACTCTAATTTAGGATCTCTTTGTTAACGAAGTTAGATAAGATGGTTGGCAGCAAATACTCACTATTAATCGTCTCAAACAGCGTTTTTGTATACTCATGTAATTTCGATCTTTTGAAACACAAAGTTGGACGCGGAAGGCCTGGTTATTACGATTTATAATGCATAGAATCATAATTTGCTTACGGACTTCAAAAGTGTTGGAAACTTTTTTCTCCATAGTCAAAGCGTTATATGATAGTGACAGCTGCTCGACAGGCTAGAGAGGGATAGAGAAGAAAGGTGAGGGATTGTAGAAATAGCAGATTTTGGCGATTAAGTAGAATTAGCAAAGGTGATGTTTCCTAAAGAAGTAATCGTAGTTAGAGTTAGAAAAATGCAGGCTTACTCTTCGTCTCCCCTCACCTTTCCCCTTCCTCTCCCACTTCTCAGCCTGATCCACTCATTACTGATGCTTACACTTCGTAGCAAATTTAGTGCGCGTTTTCTGTCATTGTTGAAAAGGACTATAAGAAAACGCAAATTTGAAATCAGATAGGCTAACAACATATTCAACTGAAATTTTTTGGAAGGAAATGGATGGGTTTGTGGTTGAAGTAGGATAATAAAGGTAACAGTAATTATAAAATAAGCATGTTGTCTAGAGATGTCTGAAGAGTTCGTTAGAATTCAATAATTGATGAGAGGTTTGTGTTTGAATGGAAGTTTATTAGGATGAGTAAGAGAACAAATGACAATGCTTTGCTGATGGCCATAGGGTTTATATGACTCTTTTTTTGGGACTCTGTAACAAATCATTTCGCGTGAGTCATTTTCTTGCGCATTCTGTGGGCGTCTTCATGTTGACAAAGAAAAAGTTAAGATGATTGCCATGTTTCAGTTTGACTCGAAAACTTCTCAATGAACTTCAAACGGAAATTGAAGAACTCCGTCGAAAGCAACAGCACATCCTAGCGCTAGCTGTAGCAGATCCTGCTGAAAAGGTTTTCGCGCGAAGAGTTCATCCAAGAATTCTTCAAAGATACGCGATTAACCACTTCATTTTAGGATGTATTGGAAGACCAGATAGCAAAAATTCGGCGGAAAACCGCCGATTTACGCAAAATGGTGAATGAAGTTGATAACGAATTCAATGAATTTGCTCGAAGTACATTTTCTTCAAAGTTTCTTTTACATCTTAGACGACAAAGATGACTTATGGTAAAATTTTAGTTTGTGAATCTTCCGGAGAAGTACGAGTCCGCAAAAACCAGATCGATTTAATACGAAGAAAGCTAAGAGATCTCATAATTCGATTTAACGACACTCATGCTGATTATCGATCAAGAGTTTCGGGTAAGTGACCAAGGGTAATATCTTGCTAAGGGTACTCTGAGATAATTGCAAGTTTTTAGTACGTGTTCGACGTCAGTTACGAGCAGTCGGTGAAAATGTGACGGAGGAAGAAGCAGAAAAAATAATTGACGCGGCTGGTCGTGATGAAGTAGGATGAACACTTTTTATCATTACGTTTTCTACATACTTGAAAATTTTACCACTTATCAACATATCTGTTGGTTATATTACAATAAGTAATCTTTGCTATATGCTGATTTTCTCGATTTCCTTCTCGAGATTACTCCAAAAATCGACGGAACCTTTTTCCTTTGCTCTTCATCTCTATTCACAAAAATTAGCCAAAAAGTGTTCCTTACATGTTCCTGTCCTTTTGATTTAGGAATTCATTAGATAACATTTTCTTGCCACTTGCGATTTGTGCAATAAGCTACTTCACTTAAGCTGGAAATTCAACTGGAGATAAAAACAAGGAAATGAATTTTGCGTTTTTTTTTGAAAATAATATAGTAAGTATTAGTATATTATTTGAAAATGTGCCATCCAGACTGTACCTCGCTAAATTGGAACGTAGACGATATTTTTCTGAAACGTTCCATGATTGAGTGATGTTTTTCGAAAACGAAACAATTCCAGGTACACTGGCTCATTTGTCGCTGATGTTTTTCTTGTTTTCGTTCTTCCCACAGATTTCTTAGTTCCTATTTTTGGTCCTTTATTTCATTCAACTTATATGCCGTCAATTTTTTTTTGCTTCAATTCTAGTTTTATTATAAAGATTTGCAGTTGATTGCCAATTAACATCTACTAGTGACCCATATTTTTTTGATTTGGAAGACTCTGTCCAAATGATCATTGTTTTTTTTTCGAAATCTCCAGCTCCTTATGTGATTGCAGTTGTTCTTCCGTGAAGTGAATCCTTTATCGGTCTCGGCGAAAGCAGCCCTTGCTGACGTTAAACGCAGACATAATGAAATTGTTGAGTTGGAGAAAAGCATACAGATAATGCAAGAAATCTTCGTCGACCTGCAGAATCTCACAGAGATCCAGGTCTATCTCGTCATTTCCGTATTGATTTTGTCAAGATATCCCAATCCTTATTATTTCCATTTACAGAACGAAATGGTAGATAATATCGCACATAACATTGAGACCACCAAGGATCATGTGGAACAAGGTGCACGAAACGTGAAGGTTGGATTGGAGTACAAGAAGAGCGCAACGAGAAAAAAGGTGGGCAAAAAGACGTTGAGCAAACAATCGGGCATACCCCGTTAACTAGGATTAGTTGTACTACTGTTGAACAGTGAATTACCACGATAGCAAAGAGCACATTTTAGGGACTTTTTGAACAAGACAGTAATAGGAATCGAGCCAATCGCCTTTAAAATTGTTTACTTTGAAGCTTTTGGTTTAGAGATAGGGGTATTTAGATATTTTACAGCATTTCAAACTCAAGATAGAAATTAACACTACACCGCTCTTTTACATGGTGGGATACTAGAGATAGCAAAAAACTAACTGAATCAATCGAGTTCCCTTTAATTACTCAAATACATGAACCATCTTTTCGTCCTTGCTCCTATTAGTCTAATTAGCTTTCATATCAAAACCAACGAGCGGATTTAGAT